ATGTAGTACTCAAAAAGTTAGAAAATGTTGAAAGTGCTAATAAAAGTTGGTTTGAAGAGGTATGTAATTTAAAATTATTTGAAAAAGTGATTAAAATAATTACTATATAGTAATATCCATTATTTTTTATAGTGTAAATCTCATTTATCTATAAGTAACAAATATGGTCATGTTGTTCAATGCTATGGTATAACAAAAGATCCATCAGATGGGAATTATATGCTTGTAATGTTTGAATTGCATAATAATTTAAGAGAATATTTACAACAAAATAATAATAAACTCACATGGAAAAGAAGAATTCATATTATTTATCATATATTGTATGGTGTATCTAGAATTCATAAAGAAAATGCAATTCACAGAGATTTGCATTCTGGAAATATATTATTTGGTAAAATAGATGTTCGTATAAGCGATCTTGGGTTTTGTGGACCAGCTGATAAACCATTAAATAGTATATATGGAAATCTTCCTTATATAGCTCTTGAAGTTATTGTAAAAATGAAATATTCTTTTGCGTCTGATGTATATAGTATTGGTATGCTTATGTGGGAAATCTCATCCGGACAACCACCTTTTGTTTATAAACATAATTATGATCTTACACTGAAAATAATAAATGGAATGAGGCCAAGAATAATACCGGGAACTCCTTTAAAATATAAAGAACTAATGGAACAATGTTGGGATGCTGACCCAACAAAAAGACCTGATATTAATAAACTTTAAGATGAAATAAAATCTTTATATAGATCATATCTTATTAATGAAAATGAAGAACAACAGACAAATAACATTACAAGCATAGACAACTTTCAATTAAATACAAATTTTAGTATTAGTTCTACTAACTCTATTAACTCCTTTTTTAGAAATTCTAGTAGCAGAGTTTATTATTTTAAAGATTTGCCTGAACCAAGAAATGCAACAAAAGGTAAAAAAAATTTATTTATCAAGATTAGTTAACATCATAATAACTGGACATCTATATTTTTATTTAATAGAAGAACAAGAAGGTAATCATCAATATTTGTCAAAACAAATTATATATGGAAAAGTATACTAGTATTTATAACGTTTGTTTTTATAGCTTATCATAGTATACAATTTGACTTTGATTTACAAGATGGCATGATTACAGGTAATAATTAATACAAAATTTTGAAATTTCTTAATTGAAATAATTTAACAGTTTATTTATTTTTTTTTTTAAGAAGTAAAAGACGAATCTAATAAAAGAATTTATTTTAATGGTAATGAGTTATTTTATGAAATGTTTGTCAGCTGTAAGTAAAAATAATTGATTTTCTATTACTTAAAAGTAGAAGGACAAGATGATTTAACTATTAACCCTAAAAAAATAAAGTTAGATAATAATGATAAAGGTAATTATTTCTAGATCTAAGAAATTTTATTTCGTTATTATAAAATTATTTAAGAATTATACGTGTAATAAAATAGGATACTTACAATTTTATTTTAATCTTAAAGTTAGATGATGATGATCCCAATTTTCATTCAGAAGAACAGGCTGAATTAAAAGTTTCTGACTGTAAGTATATTTTTAGAATATCTTCTTGCGTACTATTATTAATATTAACTTATAATAACCAATTTTTAGGTAAGATGGATCTTAATTATCTTTTAAATTAAATTTTATTATTAGTTATTTAGAATTATTTAAACACTAAGGTTTAGAGTAGCAATATTTGCAGGTTTCTTAGTTTGTAATTTGAATAATTCACTTTATTTATAAGTTATATATGATTTAATAAAATTAAACAATTTCTTTTTTATAAACTAAATTATGATCTATATAACAAATCACGTAATGTCATAATATGTAATACCATAAAAAATTAGCTATTTTAAACTTTTATAATGATCCAAAATCAGGATGTTGCGATCAAGTAGTTGCGGATACTGCAAAAAATAAAAAAATTGGAAAATTTTAAATGATTGTATCGGAAATTTAATAGAACTCCCGCTTAAGTAATTATTTATAATTTATATAAAGTAATTTTTTTTTAATTGACGTGAAAATTTTTTTATTTTAGGTTACTTTGAATTAGGTTAGATAAATAATTAATTCTACAACTGTTACTCAACTTGAATCTTAAAACACTTGAATTCAAGTGAGTATGATGTTTGGTAAAAAAATGTATTTGCTTTTTTTTTGGCTTATTAAATTTTTTTGATTTTTAATTTTTTTAGACTGACGTCTGAACAAATAGCAAGACTTGATGTGTTATCTAAGCTATCTGAAATCTCATTTCCTCATTCGGTTAATAATAAGATTGATAACTACCGTTATAAATAGAAATTATTAAATTTAAATGTATTTTTATATTTTGAAGAAGTACATATCGGCGGATTTGTTTCATCGCCTAAATATGCTGAATTTTTGCATTATGCAGGCACAGAAAAGTTAAGGATGCGTTGCACGATATCCATAAAGATGTGATTAAAAAAAATACAATTTTGATACGATTTTAATTTTGGCTGGAATTATACATAATTTTGGCCAGATTTATGATACGTAGATCGATGTAACATCATATGATAACGCTAAAATGTTTTTTTACTTTCGCTTTCTTTTTAATTTAATTTCTAATTTTAAAAAGTACACAAGTAGTAGTATATGAGTCTACAAGTTAAAACTTAAAAATTGATTTTTAAATTATAAATTTAATATATTACAGTATTTATAATACTTAAATTTAAGTATAATAAGAAAAATAAACATTTGAACGCTCAACACTTATGACAAAAAAATAATAAAATATAAAGATAACCACCCAAACTCTTTTCAAAAATTCACTTTCAAAATATCCTTACAATAAGTCTTCTCAAATGAACCTATATAAGCAAAAAAGGGGGAATTTAGAACAATATTTTTTACAAAAATTCTTAGATCTAAAAGGTAAAAAGAAAAAAAAAAGAAACAGAAAACTAGTCAAAAGAATAAAAAAAATCTCCAGCACTAAATATTCATACAACTCACAAACTGACATACCCTAACTCCCTAAGTCGGATGGATTGTGACTATGTCGGATGGGTTAAAACACGGTTTTTTTATAAAATATTTTTTTTTAACGTTGTGAAGTTCAAAAAAAAAAAAAATTTTTTTAATTGATATGTGAAATCTTGTGTTTGCTGATCAGTTTAGTATTACGCAAAAAAGGAAAAGGAGGTCGTCTAAAGCGGGGGCAAATCACGTGATTCGGTGTAATTTTAATTAGATTAATTTTTTATAAAGAAAGATTAATAGAAACTTTAAAATCATAATATAAGCGTATTTTTATCTGCTTTGCAAGTTNGAATGAACGAAACTTTGCCGATCATATCCAAAAATGGATAACGAAATTGAAAAAGTCAAATAAATCAAAAACAGCATTCAAAACCCTACTCTGCGCTCTAAGTAAACTTGCAGAGCAGGCAAAAATGCATTTAGGATGTGTGTTTAGAATGGTTGAATATATGGTAAAAAGTTTTATTTTATGAAAACAATTTTTTTCGAAGTCACGTGATTTGCCCCTGCTTTAGACGACCTCCGCAAAAGGCAATAAAGTAATTTTAACCCGTGAATCAAATCCCCTTATGATATGTATAATTATTACAAAAATATTTTTGTTTAATAATAAAGTTTCGATCTACTGTACGTCTCTATAGGTTATTCTTTTATATACGATATACTAGAAAAAATCAGCTGTTACAGCATACTGCACACAGCATACAAATTCTCTCATCAATTAGACTAAAAGAGCTAAAAGGATTGTTTAATCGACCGACCAAATTTATTTTTTAATACAAATACTAAATTTACATATCTAATTATGTTCGTGCTAAATGATTTTAGTTAAAATAGTCAGGAAAGTTACAAAATGAGAAAAAAGGTGTGAAATAAAAACAAAAAATTCATACAATTATCAAAAAAAAAAATGACATCAAGGTCAAACTCATTATACAATATATCATTAACTAGGATGTTAAGGAGGTAAAACAAGTAGTGACGTGACAATATGAATGTACTCTTATGAAGATTAATGAAATTTATATCTATACTAATATTATACACAGGTCGAAGAGATATGGTTTACATATATAGTATATATATAAATAACTCTATATAATGCGATACGGTACGATATGGAGTGAGAGGTACGAATAATTTATGATTGTTTTATCTGCTGATCTCAATTCCATTAGAATTTGATTCATTGAAAGAAAATTTAAAAAATTGGGAAGAATGACTTTATTATTGTAAAAAATCTAATTATCAAGTTTCAGAAAATTTTTTTATAAATTTAGATAGCAAATTTTTGCATGTTTATAAAAAAAAAATATAATATCAAATATATTTTTTACAATATATAAAGAAAGTGGGGTTGATAATTTTATTATATAGTACGTAATGAATAAATGGAATTATTATTTTTTGAAATTTTAATAAATAGCTTCTTGTCAGCTGGACGCAATTTGAACACCTTGTTAATAATCAGGCTTGTGTTATTTATTACAAGTACAATCTTCATATATTTTGGCTTCGTACTGTACCTGCAACTTTAATGATAGTATGCGGCAAAACAGTAGGTACGGTATGATTAGTAAATTGATTATCATACCAACGTAACAATTTAAATAATACCTTTTTTAATGTCATTTTCAGCAATATTAATGATATTTATTCGAACAGGAGAAAATGATTGGCAATCTATAATTAATTTTACGGGCTTCGTTATTAATAAAAAAAAATTTTTTTAGAATTTCGTGTTTTTTATTATACAAACTTTTTTAATGAACAAAAAAAAACAATATGTAGTAACTCTTTTGGCTAAGGGAATTATTTAAAAATTCGCACTATGGGATATATATGTAAAACTGTGCAAGTGTAAAAGATAAAAAAAATAAATAAATAAAAAGCCAAACTAAAACTAAATAAAGGTTTAAAAACAAAATAAGAACCAAAATTAACTTATTTTTGGTCAAAATGGTTCAAAAATAAATCATTTATAATTTAAATTAGCGTCAGAATCTTATGTTCCTCCATAATGAAGTTGAAGACGTGGAATTTTAGCGACTAACTCTGTAAGTGGATATCATATCACATGATGAGATGATCCAGTAAAAAGGGGTATTAACCGATTTTAGCGATTATTAAACTTCTCCTGTTAACTTTATTTTATTTAATAATTGTATTAAAATATAATAAAAATAGTAAAATTTTTTACGTGATTCATATAGTTATAGGTACGCTGTACCCGGAAGTGTACGAAATTTTTTATTATAAATGAAAGGTTTTAAAAATTTGTAATATATTCAAAAATATTTACACGTATCGATAACAAATTTTAGAACTGTAATCATTTTTTCTTTTGAAAATTTAAATAAATATCATGAAAAGTTATTTTTATATTTTCAGAACCTTGAAAAAAATGACACATTTAAAAAAGTAATGAAATACAAAATGGGAAGATATTTTTGATATAACGATAAAATTAAAATAGTATCGAATTGAAATAACAACTTAAAAAATATATTGGTCACTCAGAAATAATCACATAATATATTATGTTGTTTTACATTTAGGTATAAATGTACAAGTTATATTACAATAAAAGCGTTCGTATAGATTTTTTTATTCATATTTCTACTTATATAATATATTTTATGACCATAATGTTAGATTATTATTACGAAAAGTAAAAGGATTCATTCAAAAATTGTACATTCTCACTAATATTAAAACACTAGTACTAACATATATTAAATCTTACAAACTCATAAAAGAATATATAAACCCTAAAAAAGTTAAAGCTATAAAAAATTTTATCCGTTATTTCTGTAAAACTCCGTAAAAATGAGCCTTTCACGGTTCCATTCACGGAAAATGTAAATAATTGGAAATATGAACCTTTTACGGAAAAAAGATGGAATATAAAACCAGATCAACCTTTTTTACAGGGTTATTCTGAGAATAATCATTCAAAAAGTTTTAAGGTTTTATTTGGCAATTGGAAAGGGTTGATTTGTATTAGTGAATCAGTCGATCAATTCTAAAAATGGTTGGATAACTTTATACTTTGGTATTTAAAAAATTATCAATCTATGCCAGATTTGGTGTTAAAAAAAAAATAGAAAAAGAATTATTGAATATTTCTTTTTTGATAATTATTATTACTATAGGTATTATAAGTAATTAAATGTTTAAAAAAATGCATTGCCGCTGCATTTTTTAGTAAATATTATAAATTAATTTTATTTATTCTTTAGGCTTGATCAGCAAAATTGGGATTTTTTTTTCTAATTAACTATTAAATTAAAATTAATATTTTATCATCAAATTGATCTTCATTAACTTCAAAATCGGATGGCGAGTTTTGATGGCACATGTATAACGATATTTTTTATCTTTTGGGTTTAGATTGGGTTCAGTGAGATGCTGTGGTGGTAAGCACAAATCGGAATTACGTTAGTCAGCAATGATGCGATTCAAATAAAATCAACGGACTAATCTTTTTATATCCTCTTTTTCATTTTTTTTTTTATTTTTAATTAATAATCTTAAAGTTGCTACTGCAGTGATAGAAATTGGATTCGCGCAGTTAGAACACCACAAAAAAATTTTCGGTAACGTGACTTTGTACTATTAATCTAATAATAATATCGATAAAAATAATATT